GTCCGGTATGCCACGCCACGCCTCGGTGTAGTGACCGCCCTTGACTTTTCCACCGCGCTCGGCTCATCGGGACAACTCTACTGCCAGCCTTTATCCCGGCTTTATCTTTCTTATTTTCACCGCAACCGCTCCCTGATTTTATTATTTTTATCTTGGGTATTTTTTTTCTGTTTTGAGGATGCCTGAATAACGTTTTGCTACGCGTCCCGTTCTTGCGCCTGCGCATGTTATATTAAATGTGCCTACATTCAAATTTGAACGTTAACGTTCAAATAAGTAATACATATACCTATTGTTCTATTACGTACATCTTGGCGGAAACGGAAACTGTCTCCCTATGTCCGTCATCGAAATGTGCAAAAGTTATCGCATTTCAGTTGAAAATGAACTTGTCGGCTAAAGAGTAAACAGTTCTCGCCCCCCCCCCCCTCCCTTTCTCTCCCTTTCCAAAACTCCGGTATGTGCTTATCTGAGGATTTTTCGCCTCGGATCGGCTAGATATATATTTTTAGGTATTTTATCAGTGTCTACTAGTCACGCCACTTTTGCTCTCGGATGATGGGTGGAGCTTCTAGTCCGGTTTGTGTTTCGCCGTATTTAGTAACAGCAGAGGACAATAACCTTTATAAATTGGCGCGGTAGAAGTGTTCTCATTGACGTTTAAGTTAGGCGCAAGTAATGCGCGTTGCGGTCAATTGATCCAGGCGGTGAACTGAACTTAAGTATTGAACAGTTTGCAAAATTCCTTGAAACATGTAAACTTGATATTGGCGGCAATGAATGGTTCAGTGAATGGCGTGAGTTCGATAAAAAATGCATTGCTTTGAACAATTCTTGTAAGTGTTTGAATTCAATTCTTGTAAGTGTTTGAATTCACCCTGAACAGGAATGGGTTATTTTGGCCCAAGAGAGAACGCGATTTCGTGTACATCATTTGCTTACGATAAATTTGTAACTCTCTTGTGCAGTTTTTTAGCATCTCAGTTACAAATTATCCCAATAAAATGGTGCAATTTTTCCCACGCAAATGACTAGCACGAAATCGCGTCGTCTCTTCGGACAAAATTTTGCCCTTCCTCTAAGTGTGTTGGGACGGGGAAAACGTGTCTCACGTTCAGATCAGACGGTATCGTGCGTGAACAGTACAGTACGTTCGAAACTCTCAATGGAGTTGTGAATAGTGCCCGAGCGGGACGCGGGGAACGTTAAATGCCAAACTAGTTTTCGCTGATGCCGTACTCTACTACCGTGTCGTGTGCGTTAGGAGTGTGCTGCTTGATTCTGCCGCCAAAAGCAAAGCTAGGTTCAGAGAATATTATGATGGTTATTGACGAGTAAATTTTCATATTTTCTTCAACAATCATTGAGTTTTTTGCAATGGTCAAATTTTAATCAGTCTTTTGCCTATATCTTAATGCAGCATATTTTGGTATTTATTTATTAATTTTATTACTGACATTTCAAAAACTGAAGTGAAGAAGGGGAGCAATGTTGGAGGGGCCTTGAGCCGTCAGTGGCCAGGGCAAGTTTGGCCCAGGTGTGGCAGGGCGTGGCGTGGTGGTGCGTGTTAGGGTGGGGGAGGACCCCTGGACTTCTGGCGGCCTGTGCCTGCGTGTGTGCGCGCGCTGATGATCTGCGAGGAGCGGAAAGGTAGTCGATTTATCGCGGGGTGACAGCAGCTTATCTTTTCCTTTTTTGTCATCATTTATTCTTTTTGCAAAGAGCGTGGGGCGGGCCTGGATGGCGTCACTTTAACTCCTTCGCGCCGGTGAAAATGAAAATGACGGACGAGGAAAAAAAAGGACATGCCGAAGTGACGAAATTCACTCGCATGGAACGGAGGAGTTTTTTTTTTTTTGCCGGCGTCACGGTCGCGTTTTTGAACGGTCTCGATGAAGAAAATGAAAGAGTCACTTTCTGTGAACCAGTGAGTCATGTCACACCTCTCATATTGTTAAGTTTAATTAGAAAAGTTTGCGGGTAAAGACAAGAGAGCACGAAAGTGCAATAACATGCAAATTGTTCACCCGTCACCTTATTTTGACCAGTACATAAGAAGCAACCTACTGCTGATGAGATTATCCACATCTTTTGTTTCGCTCCTGTTTAATTTCCTGAAAATAATTATGCATTTTTAAAAAGTATATCTTAATAAACAAATATAAAATTATGTTTTCCTTATATGTTTGTCCGGCTGTATGGATGTGTGGGGCCAATGGACCCTCCACTGGCGGGGCGCGGCGGGACGGGGCAGTGCCGTTGCGTAAGCGCGAGTACTCCCGGCGTTAGGACGGGTTGTTGCCCCAGGAACCCGCTGGGGACGCGGGGCGGGGCGCGGCGGAGTGGTGCAGGGCATGGCCAGTGCGCGTGGCATACCAGGCCAGGCCCCAAGATGTGATTCGTACATGAAATAAATGAGTAGTTTGAAAAAAAAAATCGCACACTTTTGTACTGATGGCACGGCTTCTGTATAACTTCACGGTTACGCAAACGTTTTTACCTATGGGAACTTTAATGTGTGACGCAAGTACTTTACTGCTGAAGTTCACTATGCGTCTAGACAAGTTGATTGAAACTATCAGTTTCGTCCAAATATTTTGTGTTTATTTTTTGACAAGGGTAACTTGTTGAGATACCCCACAAGCATTATCAATCAAATATAAAATGTGCAGAAGAAAAATATGATCGCCCTATATGTCTAATAATATGGGTTAAAATCCAAACTGTTGAATTACGATTAAAATTAAATCTTAGCCTCTAACTTAATTTCTACTAAAGGATGTAATTAACCTCAATTCTATAACTTTAATTGGGACTAGCAAAAAATTATTAAAAAGACAACACAATCTTTTAACTAGCATTTTTGTAATTTTTTGAAAGGTGATTGCGTTTTTGCGTGTTTCGCGTTCTTGTAGGGTGGGGCAGGGCATGGGGCGGTACTCGTTGCGTGTTCTACTAGCTCGCGGCTCGCACGGGGTCCACGCCCTCTCTGAGATGGCGGGGCGTGGCGGGGGGCACAGGTGGAGGGAGAGGTTTTCAAGGACATAAACACGCCGGCCAAAGCTCGGGAAACGTTCACGTCACTCCAGTTGTACGCAGTGCCGTAGCGGAGAGGGCGGGGAGGGTGCGGCAGATTCGATCTATATGACTGACATGTAACTGAGAGCCGAATTTTCACTTGGTTCAGCGTGTGTTGTCCGTGGTATTGACGAGTGCATTAGACGCAGAAATGATAGTGATCGTTTCCAAATGCTCTGCACACATCTGTACACGCAGATCTTGTCTCATTATAGTGTTATTTCCCGACTTCGAATATCCGAATATGTATTTAGTGTGTACATGGCCATTTACGGCACTAGTAACTGAATACAAATAAGGTATGGATGGTATACATACACTCTAAAAGGAAGGGACAATTTTGTATTCAGCGAAGATGTGCTGCTGTTATTAAGTAGAGTCACATTTACAATTGTTAACAGCTACGCACCTGGATACCTTTATGCATAGCTGTGAAAGTTTTGGGTCACACTTAATGTTACGAAACATTTTTGTAACTAAACTCATCTTATCGCCTTTCGTATACGAGCCGAAGAAAATTACCTCCTATAAAACTATTTCATTCCGGTCATGACTGCTTCAGCTCAGGAGGCGCCGTCCCGCCAGAGGCTGATGCTCCCCACACTAATTAACAATGAGAAAAACAACACGGGGTCTATTCGCACGTTGCGTAGGAAAGGAATCCCAGATTTGACCTTGGTCAAGAGCAGTGACTTAGGCACGTGGATCTTGGGGGGGGGGGGGGGGGGGGGGGGCGCAGGGCCCGCGACTCAGCGCAGTGGCGTTGCCGGAGAGAGGCGCGCCAAAAGGACCCGAGAGGTGCCGCCAATGCTCCCACTCCCGGACTATCTCTCGCTATCTCTGTCTCCCTCACGCAGACCTGGACACCAGAGCTTCTTCCACAGAAAGCTATTCAGGTGCGTACCGGGAATTTGATTATAGGGGCGCCATGTGCTTCTTGTTTCAATGGCGGGTTTCATCAGCTCCTGCTCGCGTCGCGAAAGTCATTTTCGACGATCAGATAAGACGAGAAACTGCGGCAAAGACCAAAAACTGAAAGCTTTTAGGGGACTTTTCTAATATACCAATCGCCTACCGGTTTTACAGGTACAACACATTTTGTAAATAATAAATTGCAAAATAACGTAAATTTACAAACACATTTTCACACAAACATCAAATTCTGTGAAACGAGAAGAGGTGTGTTTGTACATTTACGTTATATTTTGCAATTTACCATTTTCAAAATGTCCTGTACAACCTCCCACTTTTGCTCGCATAGCAATTTGAATATGAATCATTCAGAACCTGCTCATGTGTTCCTATTCCACTCTGAAATGCGCAAGAGCACACTTCAGGGCAGTGCAATATTCGTTAAGGTAAGCCAATTTTCTCCGAGTACATTTTATTTTTAGATATTTTAGGCATCTTTCGTCGATTAATGTATATACCGACACGTGTCAGGGCTAAGGGCTTGCCCACTTGGTCAATCCGTAAGGCGCCATGGCCCCCTACGATAGGCGAACCCGCAACACCGTTGTGTCGTAGCCCTGACCCACGGTCCTCACGGTAATTTATACGCATTTTCCTCCATTTCCTCCACGGGGCTGGGCTGGCCGACCCAAGCGCGACCACCCTTTACAACTATAGTGCGGGCTCGCGGTCGGGGGCGCTACCCCGTGTTGAGTCTTTGGGGCACGGTGTATAGACTTGCGAAGAGGAATTATTGGCTCTAAAAAAAGAACTGAGTTGGAAAAGGTGTTAGGTAGGTTTGGAACCGCTGATGCAGCCGCTTTGTCCAAATGAATAAGTTGCAGTAATTTTATATTTACTGCAACCACAACCCTGAAAAAAGAGCCTCCACCAACTCAAGAACCGGGATGACGCCGCCGTGCTTGTAGCCCTGTACAGACTTAGAACTTGTCTGGTTGTCCTGTCCACAGGGCTGATCTGCGCGGAGGGCCCCATGTGGCGGGACCAGCGGCGCCTGGTGGCCGCCGCACTCAAGAACCTCTCTCTCTCTCTCTCTCCCCCATGTGGCGGGACCAGCGGCGCCTGGTGGCCGCCGCACTCAAGAACTTGGGTGCCGTGCGCAGCCCAGGACCGCGGCGTGACCGACTCCAGGAGCGGGTCTGCAGAGGGGTGCGCGCCTTCGTGCAGGTGAGTGAGGGCCACATTCGCGACGTAGTATGTTGGAGAGGGTGTTCGTGACCAATCCGGCGTATAGCGGATAGCGGAAGCGGATAGTGCTCGATACCGGTGCTGGGGCCGGAGGCAATGCTCCTTCCCCAATTTTTAGCAGATGATACCTTAAATGCTTTCCCTAAATATAAAGAATATACATAAGTAACTTTAAGGTGTCAGCTAGCTTTAACTCTCGATAAGCATCACTGTAAAAAATATCGTCGTAATTTACAACATTCTTGTAAACTCGAATTATAATTTAACTTATAAATTTACGTGAGCACATATTTTACTCGCCAATGAATTTTGAGTCGATACGTACTGCATATATCTTTACGATTACAAATTGTAATTTTACAACGACTTGCACCAAGGAAAAATTTCCTGTCAATCTACCCACTATTTTTCACAGTGATAAGCAGGAAAGAGAACTAAGAGCAATACTAGAAGTCACATATTTGTGCGCTGGAGAAATAATGTCCGGCTGGCTGGCTGAGTGTCGCGCGAAACCCCTTCCTTGCCCTGCCGGACAATACCGCTCGGAATGGGCCCCTTCCCTGTCCAACAATACTGGGCCGCCGCCAGCAGGAGTCTTCCCCGTATAATGTCCTGCGCTACGCCACTAGGCCGCCGAATTGCAAGATTGCAAGCAACCAAACAGATTGCAGTCAATGAGACAAGATAAGAACATAGACATATACATAAATTTCTATTATCTGCTTTCAAAATCGATTCTTGATTGAGATTTTTTATTGGGGGTGGGGGGTGCGAGGCGGGGTGGCAACGATAGATATTAGAAAGAGGGTAGCAAATATAACCTTTAAAAGTTTTCTAAAATCGACCATAACGTGTATATGTAAGTCGCAAAATACAGGTCTGGGGCTCACATGCGCGGGTACGCGCGTACCGGGGCAAGGGCCCGTTGTTTTTGTTGTTTGTCGTCAGGTGCGCGCGTGAGTCTTACAAATGGCAGCAGCAGGTACTTTCCGTTTTGCAGAGTTGTTGTTTGTTGACCGAGGTGAGGGCGGGCCGTGAGTGCGTCAGTCCTGGCCTCTGCGCGCGCGGCCGCGGCCCTGTCCTGGGAGCACCGCGGGGCACCTCCGGGCACCGCCACAGCACAGTCCAGTCGAGAAAAACACAAATGTTATCCGAGGGCATCATCCTTTGATCGACGCCCATTATAATTTGCTCGCATGGCGGAGCGTCGGAGCTTCTATTTCGGACACTCACCGTTCAAGACTATTTGTGCTCGAGTCAATGGCCCCGCGTTACGTACATCCGACAAAGAAATGAGGAGAGAGAGAGGGAGAGAATGAGGTATGACTGGAGGCTGGAGCTGAGGTGATTGATTCCTCGAATCCTTGTCGCCACATACTCAAAACTAGCAAATAAAATTATACTTTTGCCCGTTTTTTTTTTTTTTTTTTTTTTTTTTTTTTTTTTTGAGGAAACAGCTTGGGAACAAGATCGCGGGTGGCTATCTCTGTCTCTTTTTTCCCATGAGAAGCCCGGTGGTGCGAGAGAAAGAGAGAGATTGACCCGCGATCTCGAAGTGAGACGACCCTGCTAAGGGACCTTTTCGTTGTGTGTGGTGCCCGTACAAGGGGAGGCACCCCGTGAGTGACTGGGATTGGGAATGGCCGGAGACACGTCGTGTGCTTCTGCGTACGGCGCGTAGCGCTGCTGCTGGAAGCCGACTGGAAGACTGAAAGTCACTGTAATACGTGTAGTAGTAGTAGTAGTAGTACGGGCGCTGAGCTGGCGCTAGCTGCGCGTGGCGCGTCGGGGAAGAACGCGCAAAATTGCGCCCATCTGTTGTGACCTGGAGCTGCTGCTGCTGCTGCTGGAGTTGGGACCGAGCTGGACCCCTCGAGCCCGGCGGGGCCGGGAGGGTCTTTACCGAGGCCCATACGCGAGGATCTGCCACAGCAGTGCAGCAGTGCGTCCTAATGAGTCCTTCAGGGCCGGGTCCTTCGGGGGCCGGCTGGGCCCGGGGGCCGAGCCCTTGGCCAGGGAGGGCCTTACAGGCCTAGGCTGACGATTAGCCAGGTGTGTGAAGCGGGGCTCTATTAGCCGCCCCGCCCCGCCCTCCTCTCGTCCCTCTCCAGAAGATTATTAGACACGTGCACGCACTGTGTGGACACGAGCGGCCCAGCGGCGTAGCCTGCCCAAGCCGGGAAGAAGATAAAGGGATTTTCGCACCCTCCCCCCATGTTTGTGTGTGTGTGGAGAAAATCGGATACTGACAAGGCATCACTTATACAATAGCAGATTGTTGCGAA